ACAAAAGGGTGCCCAGATCCACCAGAACTGGGGCCAGGGGCCGGGTGACAAGGCTGGGTGACGAGGACAGGGTGGTGGCACTCACGATGTCCCCAGACCCCACAACACCAAAAAGGTGCCCAGATCCACCAGAACAGGGGCCGGGTGACGAGGACAGGGTGGTGGCACTCACGAGGACGTCGAAGCCGTGGCGCTGGAGCTGCCGGTCGCAGTGCAGGCAGTCGCCGCGGCAGTCGCCGCGGGCGCGGGCGCAGAGCCACAGCAGCAGCAGGTCCCAGAGCACGGCCCTCATGGTGCCACCGCCTGCGGGGACAGCCATGTCACAAATCCAAACAAAAATCCAAAAAGATCCCGTGAAATACGGAAAAAACCCGCGAAAATCCAAAAAATCCAAAAAGATCCCGTGAAATACGAAAAAAACCCGCGAAAATCCCAAAAGATCCAGTGAAATACAAAAAAAACCCACGAAAATCCCAAAAAATCCAGTGAAATATGAAAAAAACCCCGCGAAAATCCAAAAAAATAAAAAAAAATCCAGTGAAATACGAAAAAAATCCACGAAAATCCCAAAAAATCCAGTGAAATACGAAAAAAACCCGCGAAAATCCCAAAAAATAAAAAAAAATCCCGTGAAATACAAAAAAACCCGCGAAAATCCAAAAAGATCCAAAAAGATCCAGTGGAATACGAAAAAAACCTGCGAAAATCCCAAAAAATCAAAAAAAATCCTGTGAAATACAAAAAAAACCCCGCGAAAATCCAAAAAGATCCAGTGAAATACGAAAAAAACCCGCGAAAATCCCCAAAAATCAAAAAAAAATCCTGTGAAATACGAAAAAAACCCTGCGAAAATCCAAAAAAAATCAAAAAAGATCCCGTGAAATACGAAAAAAACCCCGCGAAAATCCAAAAAAATCCAAAAAAATCTCGTGAAATACGAAAAAAACCCGCAAAAATCCCAAAAAATCCAAAAAGATCCAGTGAAATACGAAAAAAAGCCGCGAAAATCCCAAAAAATAAAAAAAAATCCTGTGAAATACGAAAAAAACCCCGCGAAAATCCAAAAAGATCCAGTGAAATACGAAAAAAACCCGCGAAAATCCAAAAAAATCCAAAAAAATCCCGTGAAATACGAAAAAAACCCGCGAAAATCCAAAAAAATCCAAAAAGATCCAGTGGAATACGAAAAAAAGCCACGAAAATACAAAAAGATCCAGTGAAATACGAAAAAAACCCGCGAAAATCCCAAAAAATCCAAAAAAATCCCATGAAATACGAAAAAAAACCGCGAAAATCCAAAAAAATCCAAAAAGATCCAGTGGAATACGAAAAAAAGCCGCGAAAATAAAAAAAAATCTGACAATATGCCATAAAATCCCATCAAACCACCTCGAATCCCAATAAAAACCCATAAAATCCCATAAAAATCAAAAAAGAAATCTTAAAAATAAAAAAAAATCCGGTGAAATATGAAAAAAATTGCAAAAATCCAAAAAAATCCAAAAAGATACGATAAAATCCCATGAAACCACCTCAAATCCCAAAAAATCCCATCAAATCCTATAAAACCACCTCGAATCCCAATAAAAACCCATAAAATCCCATAAAAATCCAAAAAAAATCTTAAAAATAAAAAAAAATCCGTTGAAATACGAAAAAACCCGTGAAAATCCAAAAAGATCCCATAAAATCCCATCAAACCACCTCAAATCCCAATAAAATCCACAAAATCCCATAAAACCCCCACAAAAATCTGAAAAAATCCAAAAAAATCCGGTGAAATACGAAAAACACCCGCAAAAATAAAATAAAATCTGAAAAGATCCCATAAAATCCCATAAAACCAACTCAAATCCCGATAAAATCCATAAAATCCCATAAAACCTCCACAAAAATCTTAAAAATCCAAAAAAATCCGGTGAAATATGAAAAAAACCTGCGAAAATAAAAAAAAAATCCCCAAAAAAATCCCATCAAACCACCTCAAATCCAAATCCCATAAAATCCCATCAAACCACCGAAAATCCCAATAAAACCTCATCAAACCCCACAAAAATCTAAAAAATCCCCAAAAGTCCCAATAAAAACCCATAAAATCCCATAAAAACCCCACAAAAATATAAAAAAATCCCATAAAACCACCTCAAATCCCAAAAAATCCCAAAAAACCCATAAAATCCAATCAAATCTCATAAAACCACCTCAAATCCCAATAAAACCCCATAAAAACCCCACAAAAATCTAAAAAATCCAAAAAAATCCGGTGAAATATGAAAAAACCCCGCGAAAATAAAAAAAAATCCAAAAATATCTCATAAAATCCCATCAAACCACCTCAAATCCCAATAAAATCCCACCAAATCCCAATAAAACCCTGTGGAAACCTAAAAAATCCCCAAAATTGCCATAAAATCCACGAAATCCCAAAAAATCCCGCAAAATCCCAATAGAATCCCACAAATCCCAAAAATTCCCAAAAAAATGCCAAAAAATGCCTGGAAATCCCAATAAAAACCCACAAAATCCCAAAAAATCACACAAAATTCCAGGAAATCCCAATAAAAACCCACAGAATCCCCAAAAATCCCACAAAATCCCAATAAAAACCCACAAAATCCCACAAATATTCTAAAAAATGCCAGGAAATCCCAATAAAAACCCAAAAAATCCCAAAAAATTCCAGGAAATCCCAATAAAAACCCACAAAATCCCACAAAATCCCAAAAAATGCCAAAAAATCCCAATAAAAACCCACAAAATCCCATAAAATAAAAAAAAAATGCCAGGAAATCCCAATAAAACCCCACAAAATCCCACAAATATTCTACAAAAATCCCACAATAATCCCCAAAAATCCCCGAAAATCCCCAAAAATCCCAAAAATTCCCCAAAAATCCCCCGAATTGCCGTGTCCCAGCTGGTTTGGCCAACACGATGAGGGGACAATGAGGGGACCAGGGCGAGGGGACAGAGGGGACACAGGTGACAGAGAGGGGACACACAGGTGACACAGGTGACACAGGTGACAGAGAGGGGACACAGGTGACAGAGAGGGGACACACAGGTGACACAGGTGACAGGTGACAGAGAGGGGACACAGGTGACAGAGAGGGGACACAGGTGACAGAGAGGTGACAGGTGACACAGGTGACAGACAGGTGACACAGGTGACAGAGAGGGGACAGAGGTGACACAGGTGACAGACAGGTGACACAGGTGACACAGGTGACAGAGAGGTGACAGGTGACACAGGTGACAGAGAGGGGACACAGGTGACAGAGGTGACACAGGTGACAGAGAGGGGATACAGGTGACAGAGAGGTGACAGAGAGGGAACACAGGTGACAGAGAGGGGACAGAGGTGACACAGGTGACAGAGAGGTGACAGAGGGGACACAGGTGACAGAGAGGTGACACAGGTGACACAGGTGACAGGTGACAGAGGTGACACAGGTGACAGAGAGGGGACAGAGGGGGGACAGACAGGTGACAGAGAGGGGACACAGGTGACACAGGCGACACAGGAGACAGAGAG